TTTTTAATATAAAATTTTATTTGTTGAATGTAGCATATTTTTATTGAATACTAATTAATGCAAAAAGTTAAACTGATGTGTAATTTTTTTAGGAAAATATTGAATTTAACTAACTGACTGTTAAATTAACTAATTTTATACCAGCGATGGTATTTTATAATTAAAAATTTCTCGAAACAAACTTCCAGCAATTTGTAGTTGTAAATTTAAATCATTAATTACTGTTTTATTTCAGTCGCGCAAAGCTATTATTATTGTTAAAAAATAATTGTTGAGATGTAGTAGCTATTTTAACTTGAAAAAAAATTAGACAAGAAGAACTACGCTTGGTTTTTTTCCTTTTCAAATTTGCAAATTATGGCATTTATCAAATTCTTGTCAGAAGATAAATTAGAAAAAGGAAAGAACAAATAAATATCAGAAAATATTTTTAGAATTTCATTTTTATTTTTAGATATTTAATGCTAAGGAATTTAAAAGCTCAAAAATAAAAAAAAGTTCAAAGATGCCGCGAAAAAAATTTAATTATTGTAACCATATCAAAACCGATTAGCATTTCCGCTGGTTAAGCAGTACAACAATTTGAACTCTACCGCAATTTTCATTAAATTTTTTTTTTGTTCTCTCGTTATTAATTTTATTCTTTTCGCATTTCACAGCGTTTATTTTTCTTAATTTATAGGTTTCTTTGTTTTTGAAAATTTCGAAAATTAACGGTTAATGTTAGATTGAAATATTTGAAAATAAATTTTCATTTCATTTCAATGCGAAACGATCACTTGAAAATTGCATAAACGATTCAAGAAGAGCTTTATGCTCATTTCTTCCATCGCCAATCGTAACAGTAATAAGTACGAATTTAAATAATTATTTGTCTATTTAAGAATAAGCCAGTAAACGGGAGGGGCATTAGCATTTAAAATGCTTTCATGTTCAATTTCAAATTCATAGTCTCTAAAAATCCATTTTCTCATTCCGCTACCACGTAATAAACGCGAAATGAATAGGAATTTAAAAGAAGTCCAAATGATATGCAACAAATATATATTTCATTTCTAAAATTAAAATCTTAAAAGAAAAGCATAACAATAAATATCAATAATAAATCTTTTTTCCACAAAAACATTTTTTGGTACAAATTAACGATGGCTTAAACTAGCATGATAACTCTTATTGTTACACATGTGAAGAAATAGCAAATCAAATATTCTTGAAACAATAATAATAGTAATGATAATGATAATAATAGAATAGATATACCTTTTGCTGACGATGATCCAAAATAGTTGCACCTGCTTTGACTAATAAATCAGTAGTCATGTAATCAAATACTGGACATTTGAGTTCGATCATATCCGCACCGAATTCACGCAATAGCCTAATTCGATCCAAATAATGCAATTCTAAAATATTTTTAAACGAAACTTTAAACGATTTTAATTGTTAAAATTTTTAAACGGTTTTAATTGTTAAAATATTTCCGCATCAATTTTCACTAATCTACAAAATAATACTCAAAAATTGCTTCAATATATAAAAGGTTTGCTTTGAAAGAAATGAAATTTCACTAAAATTTCAGGACAAAAAAATAAAATATTTAGTTTGTATTTGAAAAATTTGGTGATAAAATTTCAATTCATCCTCTCATCCTTACAAATTCATCTATCATATGAAGATTACAATTTATCCTCAGTCAATCATATAAATTTGATGAATTTCAGATGAATATATTGAATTAAGACGAAAACTGAATATTGAAAGGAAAATTGAATAATTCAGTTCTTTTTTTTTTTCATTTTATTATTTGATAGTTTAAAATATACCACCAGAATGAGCCAAATGATATGCAAATTCGACAAGCGTTTGTAGCGTATTACAACCCGTTCGTTGAATAAATTGTGCCCATAAGGCATGACCTTCTTCGCATTCATCATCCATGAAACGTTCACGCCATGCACCGCTTAAGATTAATGGATCAGTACATTCCAGGATTGGCTCACATTCTCGTAAATCAGCTTCCACTAAATTTGTTGGACGACTAGCTGTAAGTACTGTGACAGCAATGAGACGTTGTCGAGTTGGTGGACGACGACTTGCTGCTATTAATCGTAAATATAAATTTAAATGAGTGGGTAATTCTGATTCAATTTGCGCTAAAAGAGCCGAAACACCATTTGGAAGTAAACTAGCACCGCGTGGAAAAGTTATTAAATTATTATCGGATGATTGTGAAGTTGATGGTACAGTAAGTAAATTTGCATTCAAAGCTCGAGAATATTGTGAAACATAGAACCAAGAACCCTGAAATATTATCAATCAATAATGTGTAAATTATTTAAAAGCAGAATTTTTCCAATTTAAGATTTAAGAAAGTTGATGGAAATGAAAATTTCATATGAACTGTTATGTTAAGCTTAGCATTTTTTGAACAAAAAAAATAAAAAATAAAAAATAAAAGTTTAGCAGATTCTAGAATTCATTGTGAAATATCTGAATGTAAAATCGTTGCACTGACCTGACAACATTCAAAAATACTATCGGAATCGAGTTCTGGTAATTTTTCACGAATAAAATCAATCAATTCATCCGGATTTTCATCAATATTTAACACAAGGAAACGATCAAGCTTCTTCCATTCATTCTCGTGCACTGTTCGCGATGTTATCACCAATTTTAACCAACTTGGTAATGTTTTTGTCAACTAAAAAAAAAAAAAAGTTTTCAAATTTTTTAAAATATATAAAAAAAATGTATGCTTTTCTTGAATTTCAATCACAACACAATCTTTTCTAAAGCTTTTATAATTTCCCATTCCTATATAAATGTTATCACATATCAAATGATTCATTTAGAATGAAAAAAAAATATGAAAGTCGTAAATATTTTTTGCAATACACAATCAAATCATCACTCAAATAGCTTCCCGTGACCTTTCTAACTGTATTTAGAAAAGTTTTTTTTTTAAAAAAAATTTAGAAAAAATTTAGAAATTTAGAATACCATAAATTCGAAGCAAAAAAAAAAACAAATTCCAAATGAAAAAACTTTTTTTTTTTTACTGTTAAATCGTTATATTTTTGTAAATTTTGAAATATTTGCTTTTCGTGTATTTTAATGAAATTTCAATGGAATGGTGTGTACTTTTTTTTCCCATATGAAATGTAGAAATTTTCGAGGGAAGTTTATGGAAGATTGGAGAAATTAGAGGACAGGTTAAGGTTATCCTTTTTTTTCTCATTTCAATTAATCTGAAATAGCCTTTTGAAAATTCATTCTTCTTTAGTATACGATTCCGAAATCAAATTATCTTAATGAGAATTTGAATACACTCGTGATAGTATCAAATTTTCATTTACAAAATTAAATTTTATAAATTTAATTTAAATTAAAAGATACCGCTGTCATTTCTTATGTGATAGTAATTGGTGTGCAAGAAAGTGAAATTCTATGCACATAAAAATTAATAATATTATCCCTTTCGTTCTCTCTCTCCCTCGAAATTTGAAAAGATTTTATAAAATAATTATCAGACATAAAAAGACATAGAAATGAGAAACTTGTGATACATAGAAAATTTTCGCGTGAATTATGTGGGATTTAGAGATTTCCTTCTTATCATAAATCCATCACTTTTATTCGATTTAATTAATCCATTCCTCCATTATTCTCCTTTATTTTAATTTATTTTATTCAAATTTCATTTCAAATCATTCCATTTTATTCTTTTATTTTCCTTTGAATCTACTTTATTACTAATTTCTATTCCATTTGTAAAATTCTTTCTCACTTTCCTCCATAATTCCATTCCATCTTAATCAATCACAATTCTTTTTCATCCAAATTTCATTTTAATCTCAAACCATAAATTTAATTAAATTGGAAGATGTAATGCAATTTTTCGTCGCTCGCTGCAAAATGAATATCTTCGCTTACAACAAATGTGATTTACAGCTGTTTAATTCGGAAAAGCGGAAAAAAAAGAGGAACAAATGAATGATATACAATTAATTATTAGTTTAGAAAGAATTTACAGACTAATTAATTATTGTTAGCCATTTCTAAAACTTTTTTTTTTTTTGCTAAAAGCAATAAAATGTTTACAAAATGCATGTAATACGAAGTTGAAAGAGAAAAGTATTAAAATTCTTAATTTATACAGTTATGAATTCAGTAATGAAAATCAATTTAAAATTATTCTAACTAATTTAATGAGCATAATTTTCCATTATATCCTAGAGATGAAATTTGCAGAAATTATTTCTCTTTTACTAGAAAATTCAGTAAAATTTTTTACTCTTACTTTTTTTAAATATATATCTAATTTGCATTACAAGA